GGCATTCAAAAATATGTTTGTGTAACTCAGAAAAAACGTTCTGTTCCATTCCCAAAGATGCACTACATGACATTTAAGAAAGTTCACACATTTTCAGAAGTTGTGTTCGTGCCATTTTTAGAAAATGTTTATACAATGTAAGACAATATTTCGTATTATTAAAAAAAATGTATATGCATTTGAAAAATTGTTTAGCACATATTAAAAAAAATTCAAAAATATATATTTGCAAAATTGTTAATAATGTATTTTAAAAATGTTAAAGATGTTTAAGAAATGTTTTGAATGTACACGAAAATGTAAAATATGTACGAAAAACATAGACATCAAAACTTGAATTTAAAAAAAATGTTAATGATCTATTTATAAAATGTTAAAATTATATAAGAAAATTATTGATTTATACAAAATATGTGCAATGTGTATGAAAAAATAGGCATGTATTAAAAAAATATAAAAGTAAAAATAAGAATAAAAACCAACAACAAACATAGAAAAACGAAACCAAAAGAAAACAGGTGAAAACCGACACAGAAATTTAAAAAAGAAAGAAAAAGAAGAAGACCGGAAATACTGACAAAAGAAACACAGAGAAAACCCTTGTTGAAAGGTTCCAAAACTGCTATGAACTGGTCTACATAATCTTTCGAAACCGTTTTGACGGGCCGATTTTTAAAAAGCACGAGCCCCGTTATGGTAGCTCTAGAAATAGGTGAGAAATAGCCCCGACAACACCTACGTTCTGCTAGTATATGAAAATCAAGGAGAAAGCAATAGGCGAGAAATAGCTCTCATGGCGCCTGCGTGTTGCATGAGTTCAAAAATCCGGGAGAAAACTGAACGAACTCGTGTGTGTAGCTCCAGATGGGGAGGGCCGTCCATTTCTCAAGAACAGTAGCTTAGGGCTTTTTAGTATTTAGTGTGTGTGCTTGTTCTTAAGGAAACGTTCAAATCAACCAATCATATCAGGATGGATCCAGTGAGTGTGATTTTTCTTGCTTTCCTCAAGAGTTAAAAAAATGTCAGTTTTGAAATATAGTGGTAGCTGCATTTAGGCGACCGGGTCCGAGCCATGGGAGAAGACCATATTGGATTAGATATTTAACTCAAATTCTAAAATACTACTCCCTTTATAAACAAACATAAGACATTCTCGGTCACTATTGTTTTCATAGGGAGTGTTACTATTTTTATCTTGGGGCTCGGACAATTTTTTTTCGAGAAAAGGAAAGGTGAGTTCGATCTCAACAAGTTTTTTTTAGAAACACCTGTAGTTTGAGTCATCATACTCATAACAATTACAAATACATTGATTTTGATGTAAGATTCAAGACAATACAAAGTAACTCTTATGACTAAGAATTGCAATAAATTCTTTTGGAAACACCTTTTTTGTTGCATCAATTTCAGCTAGAAAAAATACTCCAAAGATTTCGGTAAAGAGGCTACAATTAGACCGGAGCAAAGGTGTTATCATTTTTTCACCCGCACAAACATTATCAATAATGGTTTTTGAAAGCACCTTGAGCCGTCCATCCAAACAGATAAAAGAAGCCTCGATCGAGGAACGTACTTGGGCCATGGATAATCTCCTAGAAGTGCAGGCCGTTGGATCACAATATCTTCATCATGATGCCGATAAAGAGATTTCAATTTCACAAAAAATCAAACCAATATTTTTTTGACACACCAACATCAACTAATCAGATCTGAATAATGAAATCTGCAAGGACAAAAAACTTTCTAACCTCAAGGCACCATAAAAAAAAGTAAATTTATTCTCACAAAATACGATGATCACTAAACGATGACAAAGAATATACAACTCTTGAAGATGCGAAGTTGCCCCATCTCTCAGCGCCAAGATGGTAGCGATAGGCGAGGGGACCAAATATTCCCTTGCGGCGCCGGTAGCGGCGGCGACAAGTTAGGTATGCTCGCTAGCAGAAAAGAAATAGAGAAATTTCAGAATGATAGACAAATGACGCGACCATCCAGCCCACTAAATGTTCCGGCCCAAATGAAAATGCGAGTAGAAAATATGTCAGTCGAAGTCAACACCGCTGGTACCGAGAATTCCCCACCCATGGCTTCCGCCACCGCGTCCTCCTCCGTCGTCACCCTCAACGTCGGCGGCGAGCTCTTCCAGACCACCACAGCGACCCTCTCCCGCGCAGGCGCTTCCTCCCCTCTGGCCTCCCTTGGCCCATCGCCCGCCGACGCGCCACACTTACTCGACCGCGACCCTCGCCTGTTCGCCGCCATCCTCTCCTTCCTCCGCAATGGCCGCCTCGCGTCCCCTCCTCCCTCCCCCGCTCTCCTCGCCGAGGCTCGGCACTTCTCACTCGACGGCCTCCTCCTCTCCTCCCTCTCCCCCGCGTCCGCCTTCTCCCCACTGTCTCTGCGCCCCACCGCCCTCCTCCCCCTGACCGGCCGCGTCGCTCCCTCCGCAGTGGCCATATCCCCCTCCCCGCACGCGGCCTCCCTCGTTGCCGCGCACGGCGGGGTCGTCACTAGCTTTGACGCCGCGCTCGCCTCCCGCACCAGCGTCCTAACGCCGCTCCCCACCATCGACTCGCTCGTCGCGGTGTCCCCCGCCGTCGCCCTGGCTGGCGCCCGCGACTTTCCCGGCGTCCAGCTCTGCCGGTTCCCGGGCGACGCCCCTGCCACAGCTTCAGAGGCTCTATATTGGCCAGACTCGCCTTCTTCTTCCGTGCTGTCTATGGCCGCAACAGCGGCCTCAGAAACGGCGTCACACTGGCTCTTTGCCAGCTTCGAGTCAGCGCGACGGAATTCGAGCGCCGTGGTGGCGTTCGATCTGAATTCGCTGTCACCTGTGGTGGAAATCGGGCGGAAGGAGGTGTTCGGTGCGGACGTTGAGGCAGCAATACCACCTACCAAGCTCGGCTGGCTTGCTGGCCACAGTCTCTTGCTTGCGGCCGGATCACACTCCGGGCCGGCCGGAATGGTGGGTGACATACGCCTGTGGGACGTCCGGGCAAGCTCGACGGTGCCGGTGTGGGAGGTGAGGGAGGAGGACGACTGCTTTGCAGATGTTGCTGCATCAGACTCGCTGTCGGCATTGTTTAAGGTGGGGGCTGCCTCCGGTGAGGTTTTCATGGCCGACTTGAGGAGACTTAGTGGTGATGGCATCAGTGTTGATCCTTGGGTGTGCATCGGAGACCGACAAAGGGCGGGAGCTGCCACAGCATCTCGCAGAAAGGATGGGAATGGTTGTAGAATTGAGTGTTACCGCAATTGGGTGTTTGTGGCACGTGGCGCATATGTTGAGGCGTGGACACAGGTGGAAATTACATCAGAGCCTGGGGAGAAGAAGGTGATGAGGAGGAATTGGGTAGGGAACGGGCCATCGGTGGTTACTGCCGACGGTGAGGAGATGGACAAGATCGTGAGCTGGGCCTTCGGAGGCGGCAGAATGGCATTGGCTAGAGTCGATAAGCGGTCTGTTGAGGTGTGGGATAGTGCTTCTGGGACAATATCGGGTGAATAGAGGAACAAGACAACACATGTAAGAAATCTCAAATTGGATTGCTCTTCTTGTTTACCTCTATCAATGTAGTTTCGGTGTTTGTTTCAGTTCAGAGAACAATCTCTGCTCTAATTATATAATCTGCCTAATTTTTTAGTTACTGAACAAAAAGATCAACAGTAACACAGATCAAATTTCTGTAAGCAAAAGTGAAATAGAATTGATTGTGAACCAGAATTGCTTGGTTCCTTTGTGTAATTGAGGTAGTACTTTTGGTCACTGTAAATAAAAATTCACAAAAGTAGCATGTGAATTAATCTAATCATTAATCTCCTTACCTGGATATCAGATTAACATCTTCTAGGAGCTCATGTTTGAGAGAAAAAGCTTCTGTATCACATTTCAGCATCACATGCAAATACAACACGCTTTGCAGTTCTCTGTTTCATCAGAAGTAAAGATCGATATTAATTGCTTGGTTCTCTGCACATTAGTATCCCTTGTGTTTGGTAATGAGCACATCTTATATGACGCAAAGTTGCAAATTAATATGTGTTCTTTTTTTTAGCAAACTAAGATGACATCATCCTGGCATTTTTTTGGGGGGGAACATCATCCTGGCAATTTAATCATACATTATATCCGCATTCAATCTTATTAGTGTAACTCATATCTTCCACTACAGTCCACATTAAAAGATTTAGTTTGAGTAAGATGTGTAAGCCTGTAAGGTAAGTTTTATGGTTAGCAATAATAATATCGCATAAGGTTAGGAATCTCAAACTCAACACTGATTATTGTTTGTTTTTACGGTATTTGATTATGTAGGTTGATCTGATAGATGCTGGAATTTCAAACTGGCCGCCGGTTCTGACAGAAACTATCAAAGTTCATCTTGATCCTTCATGAATTTAGACATTGCAGTTAACCATCTGTGCAAACATATCAAATATGAACTCAATGGATTTGATGACACAGCCCATTAAGTAAAACCCCACTAAATTTTTTCAATTGGCCCCCCTTAACTACCAATAAATATCCGGAGTTCCGTCCATTAGGTTTCTATTTAGCTCAGTATGTCACGATCAAATCATTTGATAGTTTTGAACCTTTTGCATTTTTCTTGTAATATATTACATGTAGTAGGAAAAACTATTTCTTGCTATAAAGAAAAACCTTTGCAGTTTGTATTCTTTTTTCCTTAAAACCGCAATGCCCATTGTCTAGGAGTTTTGACATACCTTGCTTATGTGGGTCTGCTTGTGCACAAGCTCTGCACCCAGCTTGTGCTGATCCGCAGCTTCTCATTTTGAATTAAATTCCAGATATTCCTATACCACACACACACAAGAGATGATTTGTTCACACTTCACAGTCTCGAGCATATGCTTTATAGAACTTTAAAAGTGTCTAATTGGTATTGCGAAAGTAAAAAGGAGATGGAAGCAATACATACTGCAACATCTAAGAAAAATCCTAGTAACTAATAATACAGCGTAACTAGCTTAACTCAAGGCTCTGGAAAAAGCCAAGTAGGAGACCATGGACCTTCGCCGGCTGTGGACGCCACTACCGTCTCCGACAGCAATGGCATCACTGTCCGGTCTCTCATGTTGTTCACCCCAGAGTCTTGAAAGGCATTCTCACAATTTCCCCTGTTTATTTTTGAAACGAAGGGCCTGCCCGGCTTTAAGTTAAGAAAGGCCAAACCAGGCTGACTAGATCCTTTCTTCTCGTTTAGAAAGTAGATGCAATCTTCTTCAACTCCGGTGCCGCTAGATTGACCTCCGGCACTGGCAGGGAGGGACTCGGAGCACCCTTGGCTGACGAAGAGCGCGCGCCCCATCAATGTATCGACTTCGGTCCAGTGTGCACAGCCGCTGCCGCTCAGGTCCGTTGCTTCCAATACCTTGAAGTGTCGAGTCAGCTTCAAAGGTCCCCAGTCTCTCGGCCACGGCTCGCTGATCCTTTGTTCGACCATCAGCAGCCTATCACCGGAGACGACAAGGTAGTTCCGCTGCAAGTACAAGCCGGTCAAGTTAGGATCATACCATGCCTCCCGCCCTACTAGGGTACCGTGGATGGTTGTCTGCTCGTGGCCGTCGTCCAGGATACAAAGCTCATGCTGACGATATCGCTCCACATTTGTGGTGAGGAGGGCGTAGATCTTTCCTTTGAAGATGGCAATGTCGCTGACGAAGCCGCCTTCAGGCTCCGCCCACTCCATCGTGGAGCACCTCGTGATGTGCCATGGCTGCCCACGAGTAGAGATGATGACTCTCGCGGTCGTGGAATTTGTTGACTCCACCAGAGCGGCGATGAGGTGATCGGACGCCACCACCTTCCGGACGACGGGCTTTCCCTGGAACCAGAAGGCAGCCTCGGGGACAGGGGTCGTCGCAGAGGGGGGAGGTTTCATCAGCGAGCACCTGCCGTCGCCGTGCACGAGGAAGAGCCTGCTGCCGGTGGAGGCTCGGATGGAGACGCCGTCGTCCGCGGCGGGCAGGCGGTGGACGGCGCCGTCGGGGAGGCTGAGGAAGGTGCCGTCGCAGAGGGCAATCCACGGGGGCAGCGGGGGAAGCGGGCGCGGCAGCCGCGCGTTGGAGCGCCATGCGCGGCAGACGGCGGCGAGGAGGACGCGGTCGGCGTGCGACGGCAGCCGCGAGAGCACGACGCCCAACAGCTCCGGCTGGAGGTCCGGCCATGGGCACCGGAGAGACGAGCTTGATGACACGGCCATCGTCGTGTGATACGTGCGGGATACGTCCTCTTTAGACAGAGAGATCGATCTGAGGACGAGTCCGCTCCAATTTAGTCAGTTGTTTTTCTTGCGGATCTGGTGGTTGGTTCAATCCCGCTTTCTTCGGTGGCTTTTCTTTCATCAGTTGAGACCAGGCTATGTACTTGGAGATCCAAGCGTCAGCTTCATCTCACCGGCTTCTTCTCCAGCAACGGTTGATTCACCGGTTGATGCGCTGGTGGAGCTGCGGGAGGTGCCAAGAAATCGCTTCTGTATCCGTAATTCTGTATCCCTTTGTAAAGAGAGAACAGCGAAAGAGTGGACGAGCTCGCGTGCTCCTGCTATTGTAGACCAATGGTACAAGGGCGGGTGGAGACGGCAATTATGGCTCATGGAAATACTGGTGTGGGTCCCTGCAGTAGAGGCGACGGAGTTAGGCGTCACCGTGACGAGTCGAGGATGGTGTACCGTTGGTACCTGATCGATTCAGGTACCTGCGCCGGTATGCGCAACGGCGTCGATTGCCGGGAAACGCTGGACAGACGAGTGTGTTGACCCAAAAGCACCTCAGATCCCATGGCGATCTTGGCGGCGGATGGGGGCGGCTTCGAGTTCCTCTCAGATCCCGTCGACAGGTGTGCTTCCCCCAATCCCCCCTCCCCCATATGGTAGATTTCTCCTTCTGTGCTGTCTCATAGATCTCCTCCGTGGAAAACTGCTGGTCAGGTTCCGATTCTGGCGATGGATGAGACTGTGTGCTCGTCGCCCAATCGACATGTGCTAGATCTGGTGGAAGTAGCCGGCGAATGCATCGTACACGAGGTGGCTGATGGCGGACGCTGCTTCAGCTCTATATGCTGAATGGCTTCGACGGCAGAGTCCGAACAATCTACTAGCAAAGACGACCCAGAGACTCCGGGCTGCACAAAAGGTAATTAGTGTGTGTGTGCTTAGTGCGTTCCTGTTAAGATGAATGTACTGTTGTAGACGGGGCGCGGTTGAAAGAATGCTGCTTGAGACAATGGTTCCAGGAATACGATTTAGTTATGTGATCAATTTCTATGCGGGGGGACATCGTTGATGCAGAGTGTGTGTGTGGGATGGGCTCCTACAGAGCGGCAGCCGTGCGCCGGCAGAGTTTGTACCTCAAGAAAACAATTAAGGGATACGCAGAGACGAAGAGTGACACAGTGGTTGCGCCTGAACTTGGAAGTTTGTTCAACTCATTTGGCGAGGCGTACGATTAATATAATTTGTTTTCCTGGGAGATTTGTTTTCGAATTAGGTATGGGAAGAGTAAATCGAACATACAGAACCAAGTGTGACAACTAAAAGAAAGTGTATGCAGGAAATTGTATGTGGTTGCTCGGTACGCCATAGCTTCCAGCTGATGCATTTTATTTCTGTGTGCCTAAGACATTGATATAATTTTTTCTACACACTTGTTACAGAAATGTTTTTATGCTGATCGTATCGGGTTGACATGTATTAATAATTTTGTATATAACTATACAGACCAGTGTCGAGCAAATGGAGGCTGCAATACAGAAAGTCATGCAAGATGTGACACACCAGTGATGCAAATTGCATGTGTTGAAGAAGACGGAAGAGTGTCTTGGGCCTCCGTAGACAAAGAGAATCAATTTCAGAGATGATTTCCATAAGATAGGTCATCGCATGCTGACGGTTGACGAGTTCGAGAAAGCATGAGCAGACCTGATGGATGCGTACAAATTGCAGAAGAACACATACTTGACTCAGTTGTACGAAGTCGGAAGAAGTGGGAAGAGCCTTCAAAGGTAAATTTTGTGCCAAGATGACGCGCACTCAATGGAGTGAGAGTGCTAATCATATGCTGAAAGCATATGTGCCAGTGAGCTGCCATATGCATCTGTTTGTTCAGCAGTACATGACTCTGTTATTCAATCGTGAGGCAAGCGGGAACTATGAAGAAAGGTGGACAAATATAAGTTTTTTTGCCAGAAGATTAACTGTTTTTATGAGTTTGACGTTCGGATACTATATTGATGTCTCTGATCTTACTAGACGACCCCGGTAATGAAGATGAATACCCCACTGGAGCTGCATGCAAGCAATGTTCTGTATGAGGCAGGTATTGACCCCGGTATTGACCTTGATATGTTCTGTATGAGGCAGGTATTGACCTTGCAAGATGAATACCCCTTGCTATGTTCGAGAAATTTGGTGAGATTCTGTATGAGGCAGGCCAATACAAGGTTGATGAGGTCGAGAAAGGTGTGAAGTATTTGGCTCGGAGATACCACCGAAAGAAGCACGAAAAGTGGGGCAGAGTGGTATATGAAGTTCAAGTGCTGAATCAGGGTATGGAGATAGCATGCGAATGTGGAAAATTTGAACATATAGGATTGTCATCCTGTGAAGGTAGAATTGTTTAGTTCAGTTTCCAAGGTTATGATGTACTGCAAAAACATACTCATGACTCTGCGATGTTCACAAGTGCTTGACTTCCTAGGCTTCACAGAGATACCGGCTAAACACATCATGAAGAGGTGCTTCTGGACCACTTGATGCACCTGCAGAAAGATAAGCTATCTAACAACTCCGTAACATCCAAACTTGTAACATACACCCTGGAGGTTGTGCAGCTCGGCGATGCAAAAACAACAACACATGAACTAGTAATCAGTTTGCTGAAATTGGCAATGCAGAAACTGATCCCATTAGCTGATGTCCGAGATGGGCTTGGATTGGAGGGTCCGCCTTCAAGCAAGCCAGGCAGCAAGGAAAGGAAAGAGCAATGGACAAGAACTGTCCGGCCAGACCCCTTGCTGGGCGGTACCAGCAAGCGCACCCAATTTTGCATATCTTCCGGCAACTAGGGCACGAGAGCAGTACTTGTCCCCTATGGTGGACGTTCAGAAAATAGCAAGAAAGGAAGCAAAGTGCTCGAACTGTGGCGTTGACAGACATCGGAAGAATACCTGCAGCAACCCTAAAGTTGTAGTGGAGGTGGTGCCAAGTGCATCTGGTGGGTCAATTAATTGAGCCAAACCCATAGACTCTCCTTGATTTATGTTTTTCTTGCAGAGGGTTCATCAAGCCGTGTACAACCAAGAGTAGGTGTTTTTCCCATAATAATTATGCAACTAGACTGAACGAAGCAGCCCATAATAATTACTCCCTCCGTCCGAAAATACTTGTCATCAAAATGGATAGAAATGGATGTGTCTAAAACTTATATACATCTAGATACATCATTTTTTATTCATTTTGATGACAAGTACTTCCGGACGGAGTCTAGTATTCAACTAGACTTAACGAAGCAGTTGTGTGTGATTAGCTGGACGCCCAGTGTCTATGGCATACTGTAAATTTGTCGCAGTTGTGTCCATGCCTATGTTGAAGTGTACGACGAATGATTTGTGAAATCTAATTTGGGAGAACAGTTTTTAGAGTACACATAGAGTACACATCTGATTGCACATGTGTAAACTTCTTTGCGCCAGATGACTTTTGACCAGATGTGGGGAACTTCACTGAAGGTGAGGGTGCGAGCGAGTCGGCTCCTTAAAAAACACAGATCCAAACTTAAAAAAGAAAAAACAGATACGTATTGACGGCCCTAACGAAGAAGGATCACACAGATATGCGCCACTATTTACTACGTAACGTGCCAAGATGGTACAGCTCGGCACAGGGCATCCACTTCGTTATGTTTGAACGGACGGCGTCACATGCAGTGGCTGCGGATTACTTTATGGGCAGAAACTGTACATGCCACTGGTCCCATCCCGAGACGAATGAATGGCTGCGGATTCCGTGATCAGGCGAGCCCGTCCACGCCTACGAGTTTCCGTTTGTAAAGATCACTAAAGTAATGATGTAAACACTCTTATAGTATTTGTTTATGGAGGGAGTACTTACCTATTTCTTCCATCTTTTGATATCAGAACTTATTCTGCTTCACACGGTGTACATCGCTATCTCGTTTTGAGATCAGAACTCATTATCTGTGTAGACGGCGGCAATGACACATGAGCGTGTATTGGACCGGTTTGTATCCCAAATCCAATATATGGCTCGGTTGGGGCCTCCGGCTTTAGATGTTAGCATTTGGTGCGATGTTTGTTTCGTATTAGGTTTGGACTATCGGCACCCATTCATCAAGTGGTTAGAAATAGCGACAGTTGTTGCTAAGATGGTGGCTTCGGATAAACTGATGTACTACTTTGTAAGGTCTTTGTGAATAATTAATAAAATGATTGCATGCGTCGTCTAGATGCTATGCAGAGGCCGGGGATAGTCCTCCTTCTCTAAAAAAAACTGTGCGGGGGCTATTGTCTGCCTTTTGTTTTCTTTCTTGTCAATTAGACTCTTCTTTTTAGGGATGTCAATAGACTATCTTGGTGTTCTTTTTTGGGTATGGCTAGGTCTCAGTCGAAGTCGACCGAGACTTAACCAAGTCTTGGTCAAGTGTTATACTCCCTCTGTCTAGGTGTGTAAGTCATCTTACGAAAACCAAATAATCCCAAAACACTTAGGCGCGGTGCATTAATTTCTACATCAATTCTTGTTTCTTCACATATCAACCAATAAGAGACGAGAGATGTGCATGCTTTTAATGACTTGAGACTACCAAGCACGACATGCAGTGGTTAGTTCATTGCATGCAATGCTATTAATTAGCAAATAAACATTAATGTCTCTCGTTTTTTCCTCCTCCTTGGTCACGGTGCACAACCTAAGATGACTTACTCACCTAGACGAAGGGAGTAGTATGTAAGAAGAAACAAGAATAACTAAAAATAAATTTTTGTACGAATCTCCGTGCAAAATCAAATGAAGATAGTATCGATTGAGACATAACAAAGTCTCAGTCGACTGAGACTTAGCAAAACTGTTTTCTTTAGGTTTCACAAATTCTGCCAGCAAGCCAAAGGGGGTACATACATATATAGGATTATACACTAAGAATCATAGATCACTAAGATAAAGATAAGCAGATCTAGGCTAACTGG